TGTTCAACTATATTCATGTGTCGTGGTTAGCATGGCCCTCAAACTTCCCGAGTATATATATATATATATTATATATATATATATATATATATATATATATATATATATATATATATATGAGTAAATTACTTAAATCGTCCATGTGGTTTGGTCAAAATTGCACGTTTGGTCCCTAACTTATTTTTTGCACTCGGATTGTCCCTGTGGTTTGATTTTGTTGCGTTTTTCGTCCCTATGGTTTGGTAAAAAAATTCATGTTTGGTCCCTAACTTTATGCATGTAAGGGACGAAAAATGCAACAAAATTAAACCATAGGGACGAAAAACGCAAGAAAATCAAACCATAGGGACGATCCGAGTGCAAAAAATAAGTTAGGGACCAAATGTGCAATTTTTACCAAACCACAGGGACGATTTTAGTAATTTACTATATATATATATATATATATATATATATATATATATATATATATATATATATATATATATATATATATATATCAAGGTTTTAAAAATCGTTTAACGGTAATTCGACGGTCGACTGATGTTAAGGGATTAATCGGTCTTGGCGGAGATTAATCGAGGATTAATCAGGGACCATAAATTAGTAATAAAATACTAAAATTAATTAAATATTAATATATCTTAAGAAAAAACAAGTACTTCAAAATTAGAAAATAAGAAAAACTGTAATTTGGAAAAACGAAAATATTAATATTTTGGTATAATATTTGAAATTTTGGAGTAAAAAAAGAAAGTTGGTTTTTTGAATTTTTTTTAAAAAAAATTTTAAATTTTTTTGACATTTTTTAGACTTTTTTTTGCCTTTTTTCAACTTTTGTTGACCGATTAATCCCGTCAAGTACGATTAATCCCGCCAAACCCGATTAATCATAAATTTCCAATTAATGTCCAAATCTTCGACGGTTGGAGAACACCAAGCGATTAATCCACGATTAATCACCAATTAATCCCGATTTCTGCAACCATGATATATATATATATATATATATATATATATATATATATATATATATATATATATATATATATATATATATATACCAAATCGGACAAATGTCCACCTGTGTCACTCTAGCTTTGCAATAATTTGAATTTAAGGTGCTGTTTGATTTTCTGAAGCAAAAATTCAAAAAGTCTGCGGACCACCTCTGCAACCTCTGCAGTAGAAGAGGTGGACCAAACGGCTGCAGACTATAATAAGAAACATGTTTGTTTTTTTAACATCTGCATACGGCTGCAGATATTAAAAAATTAAAATAAACTAATTTTATAAACCAAAAATAGCTTTTTAATACGTAAACTTTAATAATGTATAACATTTCGGTAAAAATTAATGATATTTAGTAAAAAAGAATGATATTTCAACAAAAAATAAAGATATTTTAGTAAAAAATAATGATATTTCATCAAGAAATTATCATTATTGAATATAAAAAAATAAAAAATAACTTCAATAAGAATAAACGAAAAAAAAACGAAAAAAAATGTGAAATAAAACTTTAATAACATATAATCAAAATTTCAGCAATAAAAAAAGAAGAAGAAGAGGTTGGAAGAGGCAGTACAAGTGTTGCGCCAAATAGAGTACGTGCAGAGGTTTTTGACTCAGAAAACTTCTAAAAAATAAACAACTGCAAGATGAAAAGTGTTGCGCGTGTGCTGCGCCGCGCAGCAATAAGAGGTTTGAAGATGTTTTTTTCCAAAAAACAAACAGCACCTAAATGATGGTGGCTCCGATATATAAAGATAATTAAAGTGAGGGGTCTATAGAGTACGAATGTAAACCACAAGGGTGTACTTTGGAATTAAGCCCAAGAAACGTAACTGGAATCAGGGGTTTCCAAGTTGAAGCTTCCCTTTGGAATTGGCAAAAACCAGAAGGCAAAATGTTAGGGTTCATGACCTTCGCACACACCCATCTAATTCCGTCAATTTCTATATCGAACCCGATTCCAAAACAACAAACTCGGTTTCCATCTATCCTTACTGACGATTTACCATGTTTGAAATCGAGGAGAAAGAACCCTAGAAGATTCAAGACGTCTTTTTCAGTAGATAAAGAAGAATTGAGCGAAAAACCGAATGGTGAAAATGAAGAAGAAGAAGAAGATATGAAGAAAAAAGGAGGAGATGAAAAGCCGCGGTTCAATTTGAAGTGGACCGAGTTGCTGTTTGATCCGGATCCGGATAATGTGGTGGCAGTAGGTTTAACAGGAGTTTTAGCGTGGGCGAGTGTACAAGTTTTATGGCAGCTGTTTGTGATCTCGTTTGCGATACTGATTGCTGCTGTCAAGTACTCTTTTATCGCTGCTCTGCTTATCTTCATTCTTATTACTCTGCTTTGATGAAAAGTCTACATCTTCTGTTATCATCCATAGTTTGATGATAATCGTATATAAAATTTTGATTTGTTGCTTCATATCGGTTTTTTATAATCATTTTGTTTTATATTTCAATATGCACGCTCTCTGTATGAATCCAATAGATCATATTATCTCAAATCCTTTCCTAAATACATAAATGTACCAAAAAATAAAGATCCGTAATGCTCTTATCAACAATCATATAAGCATTTGCTAGATAAAGATTGATATGAAATTTCATATAATCATATGAACATGTACTTTGTTAACTTGGAAGTAAGTGCCATTGAGAGGAAAGCTCCCTTCGCCTTCGTGTTGCTGTTCTAATTCTACTACTTCTACATGGTATCTGTGATGAAAGTAGACATATAGCTTAATGGTTTTATTTGATTGTTAAAGTGTATATCTATATCATGTGCAACTCAAAACTAAAGGATTCTTACCAAAATAGTTCCTCTAACCACTTGTGAATCCTCATAGTATTGATCATCAATGTCTTTTATTGATATTTCAACAGCCTCTGGTTCAGATGTTGTTGGTTCCTCAATAATTGGTTCACACTGTTTCCCAAAATACCCTTCAACTTGAGGTAGTGCCATTGGCATGGGTTTACTCTTTGTACAGAAAACCTTTCCAAATGTGATTGATCATTTGGTAATGTAGCTCATATCTGCCATTCAACCACACATTAGTCAGTAAAACTATCATGAATTACTCTTTTTTATGAATAATTGTCTAAAGTTATTTTGGCGATTCATGGCTCGAAAGTGGGGTTTGATGTTGGATCTAGAAGGTTTAAATTTCAAGGAGTTTGGAGTAATATTTTTACACTAGTAAACATCTTCACTATGATAATATAGACTTGAAGGTGTTTTATCATAAAAATGTTGGTTTAGGCAATGCTACTTCTTTTTGGGAAGATAATTGAATGGGTGGGACTTCTTTTCATTAATAGTTCCATGTTTGTGATAGAAACGGAAAGAATATTGTGTGGTGAGCGACCGACTCCAAAATGGTAATTCACAAACCTTATGTAAGGTTTGGCCAGGTTTACTCAATTAAGTAAAGAATATAATTGGCTTTGGGATCTTGATGAATCTAGCCATATTTATGTTGCTTCCATGGAATACTTCATTGATGTGTGTACTTTAAGATACTAGTGTTCCTCCCACAAGGTGGAATAAGTAGATACCCATTAAGTCAAGTCAGTGAGTTAGGTATCAGTCATGAAAGGTTGCCGACTTAATACTACCCGTATGTAGGCTATATCACTACTCAATCACAAAGGCTTGATTTGTTGGGAGGATAAAACACGACTTAATACGACTAAAAAGAAAGGTTGTGATGCGTTCATTCTCACCATAAATTAGGTGTTTTGGTCTTGTCAAAATTCAACCATCTTTGAAATTAAGGATGCTATATTTGATAATATTGTTTCGCGGTCGTATCTTTGGCTTTCTAGTAGATCTCGAAGAAAGAAAATAAATTGGATTGACAGTTATTGACAAGATATCATTCGAAACATTTGGGCTCTATTTTTATGCTCTTACCAAAATATCAAATCATAATAAGTTAGCTTATTTGTGTCATACACGGCCTTAGTCGTACAAATTTACCCAAGTTCTTTGTGAGTTTGACCGAAGATGTCATGGCATGTCCATTGGTTTAATTAAGGTTGTATAAAATGAACAAAAGCTTTTTCATATAATCATGTTTGTTCGTTTAAGTTAACCAATTGAATGAATGAAAACTCACGGATAATTGAACAAATTTTCAAATAATAGACTCATTTTCGTTCATTGAACACATATGAACATAACCAAATATTTATTAAAACAAATAAACATAAATGAACATAAATTGTAACTTTATCATTAACAATTATAATATGCCGATCATATTTAATGATGCCACGTTTGATATTTTTATAAAATTTAGAAGTTTTAAAACTTAAAAACACTCTTAAAATCTACACTTTCTTTCAGTCTTTCAATCTCACTACATGTGTATATATATATATATATATATATATATATATATATATATATATATATATATATATATATATACTAGCAGCGTACCCGCGCAAAGCGGCGGGGTGTGTAAATTTTTTCGGTGATATGTTTCCTCTACAAAAATGTTATGTTACAAAAGAAAGTACATGTCGAAGACAAAATAATCAAACGATCGTGTTATTTGGGAGATAAAATCATTTTTTATTCCTAGACGGTGGGCTTTATAGCAGACGAGGGAACAAAGAGGTATCTGCGATTGGAGGGATATTTAAATTAACATGCTAAATTTAAGGATATCGAAAAGGGTTCAAAATTTGAATGAATCCGGGATTTGAGGGAACCATATCAAATTGCTGAGAAATATAAGGAGATTTGATGATAAATATTTGAATTCAAAATGTGGTTAAAATTTAATATTATTTTATTAATGGCTAGTTGTACTATCAGCTTCATCATTTGGACATCTTAAAAAAAAATTATTATTATAATCAATCTATTTTTAGAAATAGTTAGATTTCTTTTATAAGATAATAAAGATATATATAATGTGATATAACCAAATATAAACACACATAAACAAAACATAAATGAACATTCACTAACATAAATGAACAACTTGTTTTTGTTCGTTCATTTAACTACACAAACAAAAAATCATGTTTATGTACACTCATTTATTAAATAAACGAATATAAACGAGCTACGATATGAACAGTTTGTTGAACGTTTAATTTTTTTACAGCCTTGGGTCTAATAAAATCGAACTAAAAAAAATCAGAAGAGCTGAGCTACTTATCTAGTTTCCTTACATAAGATCAATTGCCTATGGTGCGGTCAAGCTTGAAGCACTTATGCATCCTGCATAGACCAATCCTACGTGTTAGGCCTAAGTTAGATTGAGTCCACGTTTTTGTAGGTTGCGTTTGTTGCCTGTGACGTGACTATACCGGAGAGGACTGTATAAACGTTTTAAAGTTATTTTAAAATTATTAGAGGTTATTTACGTCTTTTGATTTTGTACATGTGAGATATCAATAAAAATCTAATCATGCCCTACCTTATTCGAATGTATTTTTTTTTTGTTTTTTTTATTGTCATCGGTCCTAGTCTAATCATATGCATGTTAACTGCAATAGAATACTCTTTTGCTCGTATTCTAACATCAAAAAACAATAAAAGTAAAAATTTTAGCTAACCGGTGCGAGAGACGTTTCGGAAGTCATATTTTCAACACCAAGATCTCTCAACCGGTTAAGCTCCGGTAGCACCTCCTTCCCAAGATCCGGTCTATCTTTCCGTCTCAACTCTGCACACTGTATCGACAATTTCGCAAACCCTAACGCTTCATCAATTGGCCAATCAGTCACACTCGGGTCCAACATCTCTGCAAATGTTCCTTTATTAATCGCCCTTCTAACATGATGAGTCAAACCCATAGCCGGTTTAGCCGTAACCAACTGCAACAACATTATCCCTAACGAATAAACATCTGATTTAACACCAAGCAGCCCGGTCTGCTGGTACTCTGGGTCGATGTAACACATCGTCCCAGCCGCTGATGTCATTCTATACTGAGTGACATCTTCGGTTAATGATGATGCTGGGAGTAGCCTAGCTAGTCCCACGTCACTTATCTTGCTCACAAAGTTTTTGTCGAGAAGAATGTTCCCAGGCTTCAGGTCCCGGTGAACGATCGGTTCCGGTTTTGTTTGGTGGAGGAACAAGATTCCGGTGGCTATCTCCGCCGCGATTTTGAACCGGAGTTGCCATGATAATGGCGGGGTGTTTCCTCTTCTTAGTAAACGGTCTTCTAAGCTTCCGTTAGCCATGTATTCATACACTAGACAACCATATTCTGGGCAAGCTCCAAGGAGTAGAACCATGTTTGGATGTCGCATACAACTTAACACTTCCACCTGTCATCACAAAAATATGAAATTTTTTACTTTTTACAATAAGTAATTAAGTAAGATGTTTTTTAATTAATTAATACTAATTACCTCTTGTTGAAATTGTGATCTTCCTTGAGCAGCATCGGGTCGTAAAACCTTAATTGCGACTTGGATTTGGTCAAGCCGGCCTTTGAAAACCGGACCATAACCTCCTTCACCGATCTTCCTTGCTTTCTCGAAGAAATCTGTAGCTTTTTCGATCTCATCAATGGTGTATCTTCTGTATTTATGCGACTCCTGATGCTTTTCTTCTGGGTGTTCGAGCGCTCGTTTCTGGGATTCTATTTCTGCGATTCTTCTAGAAGCCCTAGCTTTCGCCATTAAAGCTTTGTATCTTTCTTTTTCTTTCTCCGCCAGCTCTCGTGCTTCTTGCTCTGCAGTTGTCGCCTCTTCTAGTCTGTTTGCTTCTTCCACGCGCCACTGTTCAAGTTCTCCAGCCTTTTGTTTTGCTGTAAGTGCGTCTTTGCAGGCTGTGCTGTACATCTCCATTGTTTTCTCGAGTTCCATCTTTAGTCTTCTCATTTCACTATCCACGTCATCCTGTTCAGAAAACATATTTTTATAGCAACGGAAAAGGTCGCCGGAAATTGACAGGGGAGAAAGAAGAAATAGTATTAGTACTGTTCGTGACGAAGTTGATCCTTTAGTGTTTCTCGAGGACGAAGAAATCATGTAACCTATATCAGGCCCCTTGTTTCCATAATAAGGTGATCCAAAGGCACGATCTGAAGCTGTTGACTTTCGGGGAGTTGGGCTCAAATCAGTATCGTAGTACATTGCAGCACTAGGCCTCCCAGTGCTCACAAATGATATATCGGTATCCGAAAGATCCCCACACAACAATTTCGCATTCAATCCTCTCCCTTTGTTAAACGGCGACCTGTACATGTGAATTGTGATCTAGGTTCTAGTTTTAATTAGGCTCTTGCAATTCAAATAGGCATCGGAGGAGCTTTTTGAACTTACTCGATTGGTTGGGGGTCAGGGTCTTCCGGCACCGGAATTGGAAGTGGAGGTGGACGTGGCTTCTCGGAGGTGTTTTCCGGCCCTGTTTACAAATATTCTTGGTGTCATGTAAAAAAATATACATGAATTTTTAGGGATTCGGATCGTAGTTTAACAGGAGATAAATAATTACAGACTTCGTAAGCTAACACTATCCTTCCGGCGTACGCTTGCTTCTAAGTTGATAGATAGCTCTTCGATTTTCTCGCGTATCGGAGATGGAAACGGAGCTGATTTTGAAGATTTCTTCGCAGTGGATATTTTTCCTTTTGAGATGACGTAAACGGTGCAAAAATCCGGTGCCGATTTCATTACGTGGCTCGGAACATCAGAACTCCGGAATCTATCGCCATGAATGTTTATTTCATGATTAGTCAATTTCCGATTTGGATCAATAGAAACAATACCATACCAGAAGGAAATTGATCATTATGACCTAATGAAACCATGTCGCGAAGACGCTCCAAGGACCAAAACCTCTATCGCGGCGTAATTAGCGTATTCCGCAAGCACTTTTGCGATGTTTGTATCTTCGAGTATAACATCGAAGCACTGTATCTGTAGCAAAACGGATTTGAATTCAAAAACACTAAAAAAAATTTAAAAATGTGGTAAATTGCGTACTTGTTTGCGGGTACAGAAGCAATGGAAGGTGAGGAACAGGTCTTTGGTTTGCTTCTCATATTGTTGCTTAATCGCAGCAGATGCATCGACTCCTCCACCTGCATTCCAAATTGCAGGTTTATGATTCATTGATCGATTTATTGAAGCTAGAGAGAAAATTAGGAAGAGAAGAATTAGAATTGCCTGGTTTCCGAATGACGTGAATGAGGACGACGGTTTGGCCGCGGGTAAGCAGGTGTTCGATGGTCCATTTGAGCGCGTGTTGGCTGTTTTTGTCTTTGTCGATTGCCACCGCCACCATGTTGTTGCCCTTCCGCAGCAATTTGTCTCCACCCCCACCACCGTGTAAGCTGCCTCCTCTCTTCCACATTTTATGGTTTGATTCTGTTTCTTTTATCTAATTTTGGATTATCATGTTAATTACCTTTTCTCAATTTTCTTTTTGGTTTTCCTGTTCTAATTTTGTCTAACGGATTTCTGACTTCCAAAAGAATTGATTGATGATGCTTTGAACATAACTTAAAAAGTAGGGTTTGAACATAAATCACGGCCTAAATTCTCTCAAATATTTTTCAAGGCACCCAATATTCAATTTTTAAAATGATATTAGCATCATACAGAATTTACAAGTTATATTAAGTAACACGTATTAAGAATGGTAATGTCACTTAATTGCAATGAAGTACCATATTTGTAGAACGCATTTAACCAATACTTCTCTTTTGGACTCTATAGATCATAAAAACTTTGTTTTTCTGTATATTCTACCAATTTCTTTTACATATTCAAAGTTCAAACCGATAGCAATGCTTATTTGGCACAAAATATTACATCCTACGTAGCAAAATGGGATTGCAACATCATCAAGGAGATCACGAACCACGAATCAGTATTGGTGAGCATACGATGACAACGAACGAGCAGTAGAGGAGGGGAAAGAGGTAGAAGAAGGTTTATTGGTCGTTGTGATTCGTGCAACCCACCACAAATCACCACGACTACGAGCCACCACGAACCGCCGGGATGGTGTGCACGGTCGTCGTTCGTGGCCACATAGACCATGAAGTCTGCCGTCCTCTGTATTCCTAATGGCCGTATAATACGAGTAATGATATAATATAGTGTTTGATTTGAAAAAGTCAAAAATAATCTTTCGACATTAACAAACTAATTAACTAGGAAACTAAATAACTAATTTAACGTTGTAGAAAAAAATTTAATTTACAACTTATTTAGTTAACCTTCAAAAAAGAAAAGTGATTTGTATACAATAAATTTTTTTATACATAACAATTTATGTTTTATAGAGTTGTATTAAAAAAAAAATCTGAATCAAATCCCTTCAAAAGATGAAAATCCAAAAAATGGTTGTTGTCGTTGCTGGTAAACTGGATTATAGGGATGTTTGAGATTGATATTCGAACTTCAAAATGACTTTCGTAAAACTGATTTTTCCAAAAATAGTTTTTTTTTTTTTTTTTTTTTTTTTTTTTTTTTTTTTTATATGTGAAGAAATTCAATAACTTAAAATGAATATGTGGCTAACTCCTATATGTAAAAATCGAAAATGAAAAAGAAAGTAAGCTATTGACTTGTGACTTTTCTAAAGAATATCAGGTTGCGTTTAGTTACGGCAAAACAATTTTCATTTTCCGTTTTTTGTTTTCCTTTTTCGATTTTCATTTTCCGTTTTCATTTTTCATTGAAATTTTTTGAAAACGCGTTTAGTTAAACTTATTCATTTTTCATTTTCAGTTTTAGAAAATTAGAAAACGTGTTTAGATGTGTATTTTTCTATCGGTTTTCATTTTTAGAAAACGGTAGCGGTGGTAGGGTGTGGGTGGGGGCGGTGACGGTAGCGGATCGGCGGCGGCGGTGGTGATGACAGGCGATGGTGGTGACAGCGGCAATTGTGTCAGTGGTGGTGATGGTGGTGCTAGTGACGGGTTAGTGATGGTGGTGGTGGTGGTGATGGTAGGTCGATGATTGTCGTGGTGGTGTTGGGTGGGTGGGGGTGCGAGTGTGTGTTTGTGGGGGTAGGTGTAGGTTTGTGTGTGTGTGTGGGGGTGGGGGGGTGGGTGTGTGTGGGTGGGTATGTATGTGTGTATGTTTGTGGGTGGGTTTGTGTGTGTATGTGTGTGGGTGGTGTGTGTGTGTGTGTGGGTGGGTATGTATGTGTGTATGTTTGTGGGTGGGTTTGTGTGTGTATGTGTGTGGGTTGGTGTGTGTGTGTGCAGGTGGGTGTGTATGTGTGGGTGTGTATGTATGTGTGTGTTTGTGGGTGTGTGTGTGTGTGTTTGGGTATGTATGTGTGTGTGGGGGTTGGTGTGTGTGTGGGTATGTGTGTGTGTGTGTGGGGGGGGGGGGTATGTATGTGTGTGTTTGTGGGTGGGTGTGTGTGTGTGTGTGAGTATGTATGTGTGTGTTTGTGGGTGTGGGGGGGGGGGGGTATGTATGTATGTGTGTGGGTTGGTGTGTGTGTGTGTGGGGGTCGGTGGATGGGGTGGAGTGGGTGTGTTTATAAAAAAAAAATTGGAATTAGAAAAATCTGGAAAACAATGATTATCAGTTTTCCAAAATTTTACAACTTCTTTGTAATTTTAGAAAACGGAAAATTTTCATTTTCCGTGAAAAATTTAGAAAAATAGACGAACTAAACGCGTTTTCAAAATTCACATTTTTCTTGGAAAATTTTTCCGAAAAACGGCCCATTTTTCCGCAACTAAACGCACTCTCAGCTTTTTCAAAAAGTGTTTTTAACTTTTCAAAAGGTTTTTTTTTAATTACTTTTTATAATTGTGAAACATTATTTTTAATTTTTAATATTTGATTTTTCGAAAAATTAATAAGTTAATAATAATCTCTCTCTCTTTGATTTTTCGAAAAATTAATAAGTTAATAATAATCTCTCTCTCTCTCTCTCTCTCTCTCTCTCTCTCTCTCTCTCTCTCTCTCTCTCTCTCTCTCTCTCTCTCTCTCTCTCTCTCTCTCTCTCTCTCTCTCTCTCTCTCTCTCTCTCTCTCTCATATTACATTAGCCAATTTCAAAGGAGTTATTGCACTAGAAAAGTTTTCTACCCAATTATCAAGTTAAATGCATATTTGATTTCTATTGATGAGTTAGAGATATTAAGGGTGTGTTTGGTTGTGGAAAATTTTCTAGTTTTCTATGAATTTTTTCCAAGAAAAACAGAAATTTTGAAAACGCGTTTGATTCGTTTAGTTTTCACAATTTTTCTAAGAAAATAAAAATTTTCAGTTTTCCAAATTGTATATAAGTTAGAAAGGTGAATTTTCCAGTTTTTCAAATTTCTAAGATGGAAAATGAAAACTCCATTGTTTCCAATCAAACGCTTTTTCATTAAAAACTGAAAATAAAATTTCAACTTTATTTTCTGAAAACATTTACTTAGGAAATGAAAACAATTTTTCACAACCAAACGCACCCTAAGACTGCGTTTGGTTGTGGAAAACTTTCCAATTTTCTAGGAAAAATTTTCAAGAAAAACAGAAATTTCGAAAACGCTTTTCGTTTCTTCAGTTTTCCAAAGTTTTCTAAGAAAATGAAAATTTTCAGTTTTCCAAATTGTATGTAAGTTAGAAAATTGCTTTTTACAGTTTTCCAAATTTTTAAGATGGAAAAATGAAAACTCTATCGATTTCAACCAAACGTGTTTTCTAAAATTGTCATTAAAAATTGAAAATAAAAACTCAACTTTATTTTTTTAAAACATTTTTGTTAGAAAATGAAAACAATTTTCCATAACCAAACGTACGCTAAGGTGTGTTTTGTTTGTGGAAAACTGATTTTATTTTCTAAAAAATGCTTTCAAAAAATAGAATTGAGTTTTCATTTTCAATTTTCAATTTTCAATGAGAATTTTAGAAAACACATTTAGTAGGAAGCGGTGGAGTTTTCATTTCCTATCTTAGAAATGTGGAAAACTGTAAACTTATTTTTCTAATTTACATATAATTTAAAAAACTGAAATTTTTTATTTTCTTAGAAAACTTTGAAAAACTGAACGAACCAAACGCATTTTTAGAACTTCTATTTTTCTTGGAAAATTTTCTTAGAAAACTAGAAACCAAACACACCCTAAATGTCTCAATGAGCTCGGCTCATTGTGATATTACAATGAGCTGGTAATACCATATAGAGTTCTCACCTCAAATTAGTTTTGAGCATAATCAATATGTTTAGTCAAACTTGTGAGCTTTTACTTAATATTACTGACCATACTAAGTGTCTAGGACCAAAGCAGATGCGAATACAACATGAGACTATTACTACATTTGTATTCATTTTTGTCTTGCATCTCAATTTTACTTATCAACCCTTACAACGAGAATCTTAGAATAATTTCAATGTACGAGACAAGTTGCATCCACCAAAGTGCTATTGGGATAAGAGTATGAAAGATGGGACCATTAGCTTTGCTTTGTTAAGTCATGGTTATTGGTTAGCAACATCGATATCCATGTCTTCTTCCTGCTTTAGCATAAGGAATTGAACTTTTGTACTTCGATAGTAAACTTGGCGAAGATATTAGAACTTTCCGAAACTCCAAAGGCGAAAAGAATCAATTGGTTCCACTTTGATGAGCGTGTAAGAATCAATTGGTTCCACTTTGATGAGCGTGTAAGAATATTTATCTTAAGATTCTTGTTTAGATTTTTGGCATGTCATAACTTTAGACTAGATTAAACTTGTTTATATAATTTATTTTGAAATTTTAGTCTTGGGCCCATAGCTCTAGTGCTCGTGCCACACCATATCAGTATGAAGTATAGCATATTTTGTTTTGAAATTTACTCGGTATGAAATGGAAAACCAAAAGCTCGCTACACTTAGGTGAAGCATCGCTAACATCACCCAATTATCATCCTACGATTTTCTCAAATGGTCGTAAAATTTTGGTTCCACATATATTTGTTGATGAATGTCGTAATTTAGGAGTTGATAAATTTACTGGATTTAACCTTTCAATTGTCTTCATCACTATTCTTGGACCTGGACGAGGTAATAGGTTGGTTTAAGTGTTTCAATTATTTATTCTGATTTTAGTTATTGCAAACACAAACAACGACTTCTTTGTAATATGGATTTGTGTTGATGTTAAAACAAACTAATGTTGGGGTTAACTTTTACCAAACGGATTGATGTTAATAAGTCGGCATGTTAAAACAAAGTGATACAGACCATACCAATTCGTCCAAGTGGATAATTTGTAGAAATTATATCCAAATTTGCATGACGTGTCAATTTTGACTAAATTTCAAACGATGTAACCGGATAAATAAACCCTTCATAGTTCATATATATATATATATATATATATATATATATATATATATATATATATATATATTCCAAAATCATCAACAAAACCAAAAACGTTTCATGGCCTATTGAGTCCAAAAAACGATTAAAGACTAAACAATAACAAGTCAATACCCGACAATTTATTGTCAATTTACGACCCAAAACAATAAAACACTTGAAAAACATCAAAACTCAAACAGGATACGAATACCCACGAAGGTAAGACGAATCAACACCCGATTCACGGGTCAGCGCGACCCGCCCGGTTCTTGCCACCTCACAAATTCCACACGGCTCCAACAATCTCTGCAATGCAACCATCTTATTTATATCCCCAGTAACCTGAAAATTAAAACAAAAAAAAGGATAATCATTTATTGCTAATATTCAATAAATAAGCAACTCAAAAGAAAAATGACATAATTAACCTCAAGTGTAATTGTATGATCGGACACGTCAACAGGTTTAGCCCTAAATATGCTAGCAATATCAAGAACATTGCGTCTAGCTGTTGAATTCACAGCAACCTTAATCAGCATCAATTCCCGTTCAGCAAATGGCATCGATGTCAAATCAATAACCTGAATAAACCGCGCGTTTTACTTCAATTTCTTTTTAAATAAATGGAACATTTTATATTATTATATATATAAATATACAATATACTCACATCATGAACCTCAATCAATTTATATAACTGTTGCACCAATTTGCTAATTGACTCATCCGTTCCAGGGACAACAGTTGTAATCCGGGAACGCCCCTCTACTTCTGCATGACCAACTGCTAAGCTCTGATATGAAAAATATAAAATTGTTCATAAAAAGGAAAATTGCAGAGAATAAAAAATAATTAAAAAAAAAAAAAAAAAAGAACATAAAAATATACACCTGAATGTTGTAGCCTCTACGAGCAAAAACTCCTGTAACTATATTGAGGACTCCAGGAGAGTCGTTTACAATCATTGATAAAGTGTGTGAGCGAAGCCCTGTTGTCTACAAGCATTAAAAAAAAAAAATTAATATATATGTTTTAATTTAAAAAAATTAAGAAATGAGAATAATTTCTTACATCTTCTTCATTGAGAACACCCCAATGTGCATCAAGAACTTGATTGAATGAATAGTCGTCATTAGACTCAACTGGATAAACATCTCCCTTCATAGAAAAAACATCATTTAGTATTTGGGTATTAAAAAAAAAAAAAAAGTGGGAGCATTTCTCATTTACTGATTTACCCCAACTGATGTATCAGTATCAAGATATTGTGTTTTTGGTTTGGCTTGAAGAGGAGTTTTAAGGTTCAATTCTTCAAGGTCTGGATACGAAGCTGCTGAAAATCGCCAGAAAGGAGCAGATTCACCCATTTTTTCTCTTCTCAAGGCAATCTATAAATACAAGATATAGCAATGTACTTTATAAAAATAAAAATAAAAAATAAAAAGATGGGAATAATTAGAGCAATGTAATTTTAAGTTATGATTAATTACCTTTCCAGTCCTTGCAACTTCTCGGATTCCAAACTTGCTTAAATTTCTTTGCACTGCAACCATTTTTCCAGGGTCACCAGTTACTTCAATGGTTAATGAGTCCTGTGAAATATCAACAATCCTAGCTCTAAAGATGTCCACCAACCACTTAACCTGAAAATTAAGATCATAAAAAATATGGTAAGAGGCTATATTTTATCAACATATATAATGCAGAAGGTTAGGAATAACACTCATAATTACCTCCAATCGGTAGCTTGGATCTGCATTGATCTTAATGAGCATCAACTCACGTTCTACTTGTGGTTCCTTTGAGATATCTTCAACCTGTAAGAGATAATTAAAATGGTTATG